TCCTGGTTGAGTCAATACAATGGTATAAACTAGTTTGTTGAGCAAACCTGAACTTTAACAAGACTGAGCAATGCAAATGTGACTTTCTAACTGGCCATACTTAACTTGAGTATCCCTGCCTTGGAGGTTCACTTGAATCTCAAAAAGAAAAAGAATTTATTAAATCAAATACTGTGTACAGATGAAACAACACATCATTGCTAATTATAGGATTGACTAACACTGATTCAGATATCTCTTTTATTTCCTTCAACTTGTGGCTTAATTAACAATGAACAGTGACTGATTTCCTAAAAGGAAATCTTTTTTCTGTACTTCTGGGTTTTCTCAACAGGAGTTAGAAATGAGATACTTGGCAAAGTTTAGCCAAATGGGGTAGGGGGATGATGAGCACTACAAGAAATCACCTATTTTATTTGTGGATAAAATATAACTGCAAAAACACTAGGCAGCACCAATGTATTCACTGACTTTATTTAGAAAAGAAAACATTTCACATTTGCTCATTTTGGAAAGTTATGAAACATACTACAAACAATTTTTTTCTCCATGATTAAAATATATAAACATTTATTTCTCTAGCTTATATTTATAAGTTAGGTGAATCACTCTTTTGGATGGAAGGTCAATAATACTTCTTTTGGATGGAAGTCGATTACACTTGTTTTAGACACTAAATTGAAATCTGAGGAATTAAATCCCACTGAATTTTTCTGCACCAAATTCTCCTTTCTCCATGGAGTACCCATCATAAGGTACAGCGATATATCATCTCTTTGAGCATAAGTCATGTTTAGAATTATTCATCAGTATTGTTGTTGTTTGTGTTAAGTGCCATGGCATCAGTCCCAACTCACAGCAAGCCTGTATAAGGTTTCCGAGGTGCGGCTGGTGGGTTTCAACCACCAATCTTTTACGTAACTGTCTAGTGCTTATCCTACTGTCCCCAAATTAAGAAAATGCAATTAACTTGAGGCAATGACACAAGTAAACAAGACGAGATTGTGTTCTACCGAGAAATTAGAATCCATATCTAGAGGTTCTTCCTGTTTTGCTGTTGATGGATGCAGGATAGAGACGGGTCCAGGCAGAGATGTGATCCTGGTCAAGTTTTCTTTCATTGTTCTCTATTTCTGCCCAGTCCTCCCAAGTATTCTCCATTCTGCCAATTACACTGTCTTTCCAAATAAGTTTCTGGTATTGAGTATTTCTCTTTATGGAATTAAATCAATTTATGCCCTTGATCATGCATGTACGTATTTTAACCTAAATGTTAACAGTTAATAGCAATCAAGCTCTTACTACAATATATAAACTTAGGTAAGAATTTTACATATGTCATCTACGTTAATCTTCACAATCATCCTATGAGATAGATAACATTAAAACTCCATGTAACAATCAATACATCAGTTTAAGGGAGATAAATAGCCTGCCCAAGGCCCCAGTTAACAGTGATCTGAGGCTAGAGCCTGACCTCTAAAGTCACTGTATTGATTATCATTCTAAATGATCCATGTGAAGGCTTTCTGAGCAGTTGAGGAAAGGTTCTGGGGACCTTCTGAAGACTGAAACCATCAATCTAGGCTGAAGTCTGAAGATCTGATTTTCAGAGCAGTTCTGGCTCATACATGAATGGTCACTCTATTACTAAACACTGATGCAGATTCTATTCTGACCTCCCACAACCCTTTAGCTTTTCCTGAGAAGATGAGAAGCCTTTATGAGAACAAAAAGCCTGAAAGAACCGTCACAGAGTGTCCAGAATCCCCTCTATTTTCTATGACAGATTCTCTTCTACAGCAAACACTCTCTTTTAGCAACTACATTACAGACATGAATACAGCCAAGATGGTGGAGGTTAATTAAGAACATTTACCATATCACTTAACACTGAAGAACATGTGGAAACCCAGTAAGACAAAAACCATCATATAAGATAAGCAAACAGAAATTTTGCTTTACCCAACTTCAGAATTTATTAAAACTCAAAATGATTCAAGCTCACAATATAAGTAGATATGAGAAAGTTAAGAGAAGAAAACAAACAAAACAAACAATCCAAACCAGCCTTATGGAGAGAAATTAGGGTGCTGTGGGTTGTGCGTCTGATTTTTTTGAGGTTGAAGATGAAAGGAAAAACCTCTGGAGACACTGGCAGAGAACCTGACTGCTCAGTGGACTGAAGCCAGGCCCAGGATAGCAACCCTCACATTGTTTCATTGCCTCCTGAGGTGAGGCTGGGAACAAGAACCTTCCTCTGCACTCAGGAGGAAACTCCCTCAGCTACACCGCTTGGTGTCTGTCGGAAAAGCTCATCATGTGAAACTCATACCCAAGAGCATTCCAGGGTGCCTATTGCAAACTCAATCCATCCACAGAGGAGACTGTTGCTAAGGAAAATATGGATGGGAATCAGATCACATTGCATTTTGGAACAATAAACCAGTTGCTGTCAACTCTGACCCTATGTGTATACGAATAGAACTGTGCTCCATAGAGTTTTCGATGGCTGATATTTTGGAAGTAGATTACCAGGGATTTATTGTGAGGCACCTCTGGGTGAATTCAGAACTCCAACTTTTCAGTTAACAACAGAGCACATTAATTTTTTTATACCACTTAAGAGATTCCTTTGAAACAAAGAATGATTAACCAAGTTGACTCTTAGAATACCAACAGGATCACAGGTCCTCTGAAGACCTGCCACACTCTTCAGGCAGGTGCTCCAGGGCTACTTCCCAAGTAGGGGAAGCTCAGCTGGCCAGTATCTAGATGTCCAAATGGCCTATGGGTAAAGCAACTTCATATGGCTTCTACCAACTAAAAGAACAAATACCAGTCTTTTCTCTAAATCCTACCAGCTCTCCCCTAAATGGCATCAGCATCTTAGAGAAAGATAGTGTTAGATAGAGTCCACTGATCAGTGAAAACCCAGATTAAAAATTAAAGAAAAGGAAAAAAAAAGTAAACACAAAAGATAGAAAAATGAATGAAACATAAAAGGAGCAAACCATCAACCCTCTCATTCAAACTATGGACTAATGGAGTAGACATGTTGTTATTAGGTACTATCATGTTTATTTTGACCCATGTGACAGAGTAGAGCTGTCCCATTGAGTTTTTTAGACTGTTAATCTTTACGGGAACAGATCACCAGTTCTTGCTCTTGCAGAGTTGTTGGGTGAGTTTGAGCTGCCAATCAAGTGCTTAAACATTGCACTACTATAGCTTCTTGGAGTAGACATACATGCATATTCATAACTATGTTTATTCACAATTCACAGATATGTTATCTGGATCTCCCAAGTAGTGACACTTCTTGATCATATTACAAGGAAGAAAGTATTTTGGGGCCATAATCCAAGGAGGAAGCCATTTCTAATTTAAAGGAACAAAGGCACACCCATGGAGCAGGTTACATTTGATCATGGCCTTTAAAGATAGAATTAAAGTTGGAGGAGATGCTAGAGATGTCAATGCAATAATCAAAAGATATTTCAGTCAATTGATTATTATAGTTCAAGCTCACCAGCTGCTCCTTGGAAACCCTATACAAGGTCGCTATGCATCAGAACCAACTCGACATCACTTAACAACAACAATAGGCTTTCCAAGAAGAAGGGCTGGTGAGTTTGAACTGCTGACCTGCAATTCAAAACAGCCTTGTGGTCCGGTGTTTATCTTGGAGTGCCACACAATGAATGGTAGTGGCAGCTGTGTGCCATGGAGGTGGTTCCAACTCATAGTGACCTTGTATAAGGTTTCCAAGACTGTATATCTTTACGGGAGCAGACTCATCTTTCTTCTACAGAGTGACTGTTAGATTTGAACTGATGGCCTTGTGGTTAGCAGCCCAGCTTATAATCCACCATACTACCAGGTCTCCTTACACAACGAATGTTGTTGTTGTTGTTAAATGCTGTGGAGTCGGATCTGACTCACAGTAACCCTGTAGAGGGTTTTCTGAGGAGCAGCTTGTGAGTTTGAATCACCGACCTTGCAGTTCAAACTGACCTTGAAGTCACGTGCTTATCCTATGGCACCACACTAGGACAGGTATTTATCAGTGCCAAGACAGGAGAGTGGAGGAAAAGAGAGGGGAAGAAAGGAAAGATAAAATAGTCTAATAAAATGGCAGAACTGGCGTATAAGGTTCAAGGTCAAGTTTGGGGTTGATAGGGATGGTAAATTAGACTGGAAACTAGTTTCAAACCCTAGGGCAAAATACCACACCTTACAAATCCACACCTAATAAATATCTGTTGTTCATGTCATTGTTATCAATGTCTGTTTATTGCTGTTTTATTTTTAATATTTGTTTTTAGAATAAATATTACAATTGTAAAATAGACTACAAACCCATTGTTCACAAATCAATCCTATAATCTGTTTCACATCTGTTAATCACTGATACTAATTAAATATAATAATGCTACTTTGTCCCTCTCCAGAAATACAATTTTGGCATATGAAATAGCAAAATCAAAATTGAATGCTTCACGTGGAAGGGAAGACAATCAGATCATTTTGTGAAGCTACCAAGTCACCATGTGACCTTGGGTAAGGTGTCCTTATTTGTAAACAAAAGGAATTGGACCAAGTGACTTCTAAAGCCCATCCTAGTTCTAATTTGATTATAAGTTGTACATAATCTAGTTCAATGTGAATTACTAACAAATCATGCATGTGTCTCAATATATGATTTAAATCAGATGCTCTTGATATAAAGCTCTTATTGATAATCCCTGGGGTGATTAACTCCTACCAATCACTGGGAATTTATTAACAAAGGTTCAGAAGCAAAGAATGTGGTAGGACCTTCAACTTCACTCCCAGTCCGCAGAAGAATCTTCTTGTCCCCTTTATGTATATAAAATGCCTAATAGCTTCAAGATAGTAAACTCAATTAGCCTTATAGAACTCAGAACACTCTTCTTTCGCATAAACAGCAAAGTGGATTCTTGAGAAATACAGAAATGATCCTGTAGACAAAACAACTATTTTCTCTGGAGCAAAGGACTGTGAGATTTGTGGTGTTCCCTTCCACTTCTTGGTTCTGCTGTCCATCTGGAGCCAACTGAGGAAACTTCTTCCTCACTTTCCTCTCCAGATTCATACTCCTCATCTACTGCATGAAAGAGTGATTTGTGTCTCACAGCTGCCCTTCTGATTCTGCCAGTATGCACTTCTAGGCTTGCATTTCTTGGATAACCAAAGTTGAGTGGCTCTCCTCTTTTGTATAAGTTCTTCAATGGGATTGTTTCTTGGGTCAGCTGTCTTTCTTGAAGTGGCCTTGCTCGAGAGTATGCTCTGAAAATGATGGAAGGGGATCCTGAATAGCTGCTGCCATCAACTAGAAAAACAATGACAAGAAGAGAAAGACACAAGACTTAGTACCAGTGAGTTAAGACTTCATATCTAGAAGGCAAGAATTCAGAATGAAACAAAGTCTTTTTGACATTCTTATTTCTTAAAGTCAATTTTCTTCTCAACCTGATTTTCCCTTTCTAAGTTTACTGCCCAGGAGGTGGGAAACAATATGCAATATAATAAAAATAAATAAATGCATGCAAATGTGCATATGGTGTCAGTTTTCCCCCGATGATAAGGGAGTGTCAGTTTATAAACTCAGGTCTAATATTCATAATGCTTTATGTTGTCAAAGACCATCACTGACACTTTTAAAGAAAAAAAAAAAAAAAAGCACATAAAACTGAAGAGTATATGATATTGCTGTATGAAAATTATTGGTTTATCTTGAATTTTTTTTTTTTTTTAATCAGTGGTTTCTTTAAATCTGAGTTTCATTCTTTTTCTCTTTGAAGTAGCCTAAGGAGTTTTATAGAAATGAAAATTAGAGAGACCCACAGCAAAACTATAGTGACTAAATGTTCTTTTTTCGAAGAGGGTAAGTAGCTGACAAAGGATGGGAATAATAATAATAATAAAAACTGAAAACCAGACCTGTTGTTAATTCTAATTAATAGTGACCTATAGAAATATTGGTGTGACGTTGTGGGTTAATGCACCAGACTGTAAAGCCGTTTGAACTGCAAGGTCGGTGGTTCAAGCTCACTAGCTGCTCCTCAGAAACCTTATGCAGGGTCACTATGGGTCGGCACCGATTCGACGGCACTTCACAACAACAACAACAACAACATAGGATAGAGTAGAAATGTCCCATAGGGTTTCAAAGACTGTAATCTTTACAGAAGCAAATTGCTAAATCTTTCTCTCAAGGTTTAAAACTGCCAACCTTTTGCAGCTTAACCACTGAATCACCAGGGCTCATAATAATGCTAACAACCATCATGTATTGAGAACTTATGCACCAATATCTGTCCTGATCATAGGCATACACTATGTCATTTAGTTCCCATAATGGCCTTTTGAGGTGAGTAAAGTTATGGCCCTCATTTTATAGATAGAGAAGCTGAGGTTTCCCAAGGTAATGTCACTTTTTAATACCACACAGCTGGTAAAGAAGGAACTGGAATTGGAGAAGAGCCTATAAAGCCCTTTCCAGCACATATGGGATAGGGTGGTTATAAGCTTAGATAAGGAGCTCTGGCAGTATAGTGATTACAAGTCGGGCTGCTAACCTCAAGGTCAGGCATTTGAAACTATCACCCATTCCATAAGAGAAAAATGAGGCTTTCTGCTCCCATAAATATTAACAGCCTCAGAAACCATATGCAGGGTTGCTATGAGTCAGAACCGACTCCATGGCGCACCACCACCACTACCATAAGGTTAAATGGGAGAAATGGTCGTTCCATAATACAATCCTTGCCTTCTGTGTGGGAAACCTGGGTTTGAATCCTGCCCCATGCATCTTATGCATAACCACCACCTGTCTGTCATTGGAGGCTTGTGCGTTGTGATGGCATTGACCAGGTTTCAACAGAAGTTCCTGAGTGAGAGGCACTATGAAGAAAGACCTGGTGATCTACTTCTGAACATGCAATAGATCACAATGGTCTGCAACTGATTAAGAGCATGGTCCAGGACCAGGCAGCATTTCACTTGGCTATATATGAGATGGAAGTCCTGGTGTGGAACTGTAGGATAAGCACTGGACGGTGAACCACAGGTTAGCAATTCAAACCCACCAGCTCTTTGGAAACCCTTTACAGGGTCACTATGAGTCAAAACCAACTCATACATAGGACACAGCAACAACATACATGGGATCATCATGGGTTAGGGTGTATCTTGATGGCAAATAACAACATTAGTGTGGTGGTTTCATAAATGAGGGGTGTAAAGTTCCCCAGACATTGAGATAAGACCTCCTCTCAGGTTTTCACCACTCATCTGTCCGTTTGCTGCACTGTCGTAGCTTGCATATTGTTGTGTGCTGGAAACTATATCACTAGTATTTTGAATATTGTCAGGGTCACCCATGGTGGACAGGTTTCAGCTAAGCTTCCAGAATAAGACAGACTTAGAAGAAGGAAACACAGACTATTTCCAAACGTTTAGCCACTGAAAACCTTATAAATAGCAGTGAAGTACTGTCAGAATGAAAATATTGAATATTGAAACATGATAAATGGATGTCAGAAGAGACTCTGAAACTTTTTCTCCATTGAAGAGATGCTAAAGAAATGGAAGAAATGAGGAGGGAAAGCAAGCTGGACAGAAATTTTCAAATGGTAGCTCAAGAAGACAATGTCAAATATTCTAATGAAATGTGCAAAGATCTGGAGTTAAAAAATTAAAAGTGAAGAACACGCTCAGCATTTCTCAAGCTGAAAGAACTTGCAAACCTTGATTTGCAATACTAAAAGATTCCTTGGGCAAAATATTGAAAAGTGGAAAAGCAGCAAAAGAAGATGGTGGTTGTAGGGTGGGGGTTGGGGGCAACGATGACTTAGAATAAAGAAAATGATAGTATCTTTACATGTTTTTAAAATTATTTTCCTTTAATGTGTATTCTACAGTCTGACAAGGGGACAAGAATTCACCTTTTCCTCTGGTCCTAGAAACACTGCTTTTGTTGTTGTTAGGTGACATAAAGTTGGTTCCGACTCATAGTGACCCTGTGCACATCAGAATGAACCACCGCCCTGTCCTACACTATTCTTACAATTTGATGTTATGTTTGAGCCTAGTGTTGCTATCACTGGGTCATTCGTCTTGTTGGTGGTCTTCCCTTCCACTTTTCCAAGCAAGATGGCCTTCTTAAGGGACTGGTCCTGCACTGCATCAGTTTATTGAAACATTTCAATTTGTATTCCATCAATTCCTGGAGCTTTGTTTCCAACAATGCCTTCAGTGCATCTTGGACTTCTTCCTTCAATATCATAGGTTCTTGGCAATATGGTACCTTTGAATTGACTGAACATAGACCAATTCTTTTTGATACATAACTGTGTATTTGTTGTTATTGTGAAGTGCTGTCGAGTTGATTCCAACCCATAGCGATCCTGTACAGGGTTTCTATGGTGAGCTTGAACCGCCAACCTTGCAGTTCAAATGACTGCTGTCTGGCACATTGGCCCACAGCGCCATACCAGGACTCTAATTTCCGACTTATTTTGATGTTTTCAGTGTCATTCAATATTTTGTTCATAGAATCCTGCAATATTACAACCCAAGGCTTGAATTTTTCTTCAGTCCTTTCAACTTGAGAAATGCTTAGTGTGTTCCTTCCTGTTGGTTTTCTAACTCCAGGTCTTTGTGCACTTCATTATAATACTTGACTTTATCTTCCTGAGATGCCCTTTGAAATATAGCTTTTTACTTCCTCATTTCTTACATTTGCTTTAGCTTCTCTACACTCAAGGGCAAGTTTCAGAATGTCTTCTGACATCCATTTTAGTCTTTTCTTTTTTTCCTGTCTTCTTAATGAACTTTTGCTTTCTTTCTGAATGATATTCTTGGTGTCATCCCATAGCTTTTCTGGTCTTCAGTCATTAGTGTCTAATGCATCAAAGCTGATCTTGAGATGGTCTCTAAATTCAGATGGGATATACTTAAGGTCATATTTGGACTTCCATGGAATTGTTTTAATTTTCTTCAGCTTCAGCCTGAACTTGAGCAATTGATGGTATGCTCCACAGTCTGCCCCTGGCCTTGTTTTGGCTGACAATATGGACCTTTTCCACGGTCTCTTCCTATGTTGTTGTTGTTAAGAGCTGTCGAGTCTATTCCAACCCATAGCAACCCTGTACAGGGTTTCCAAGGCTGTAAATCTTTACAGGAACAGAAAGCCTCATCTTTTTCCCATGGAACCGCTGGTAGCTTTGAACTGCTGACCTTGAGATTAACAGCCCAATTTGTAACCATAATACTACTAGAGCTCCTTGTATTCTGGTGAGGGCATATTGTTGAAAAAAGATGTTTGCAATGAAGAAGCCATTGGTCTTGCAAGTTTCTACCATGTGATCTCCAGCATCATTTCTAACACCAAGGCTATATTTTCTGACTACTGATCCTTCCTTTTTGTTTCTACTTTTGCATTTCAATCACCCATAATTAGCAAGGCATCTTGATTGCTTGCTTGATCAATCTCAGACTGGTGACATTTTCATCTTCCTTGGCTTTAATTGTTATGCAAATTTAATAATGGTGGTATTTAACCAGTCTTCCTTGTAGGCATATGGATATTATCCTATCACAGACAGCACTGTACTTCAAGACAGATCTTGAAATGTGCTTTTTGATGAAGAATTTGATGTCATTCCTCTTAAAATTTTCATTCCAGGCATAGTAAACAATATGACTATCTGATTCAATGTGACCACTACCAGTCCATTTCAGCTGTCTAATGCCTAGGTTATCGATCTTTATGGGTTCCATTTCATTTTTGAAAACTTCCAATTTTCCTAGATTCAAACATTGTACATTATACTTCCTGATTATTAATGGCTGTTTGCAACTGTTTCTTCTCATTTTGTGCTCTATCACCAAGTGAAGGTCCTTAAAGTCCAATAATGCTGTAAGATATTCTCAAGATGATCCATCTTCAGGAATAAAGGTCCCAAGAGATTGCTAGACCAGACATAGGTTGTTGATTCACATAGCAACAGGGGCCTATGTCCCTGGGGTATGTGAACTGCATGAATTGGGGGATGGGGAGGAAGAAACCTGTTCTACAACTAGGAACATAAAATAAGAATGTTATCATCAAGAGAAAGTAGACAACATCCGGGAAAAGATTGTTAACTCCATAGTACTTAGTAAATGATGAATCAGGGGAGGGACATTCTCAAGATAGAATAAAATTCTTTGTGAAATGGCCATGCCTTACATCTCTGCCTTATGTCCTTTAGGGTGAATGCCCAATTTTGCAAAATTGAATAAAGAAAACCTCACTCTGGCTAAAATGAGTACAGACTGGATTTC